TAGTTATCTGGGCGTCTTTTTCGTTTGGCGTATAACTTCGAAACTGCGCCTGACCATAAATATATTCGTTTTGTTCCGCATGTTTTTCCATGAATCATTGGCCATAAAAACTGACGGATACGATGTATTATGAGTGAGCAGTTTGCAGTCATAATAAATCCCATGTTTACAATTTTTTGTAAAACCGAAATATACCCTTCCTTTAAGTATAAAATTTAAAGAAGGCGTACTGTGCTACTAAACGAGTACAAGAACCAATATTTTCGTGCATGTTTTCTACAAAATATATCTGAATTTATATGAGCAACGAGTATGTATGAGTATGAGTAAATTCATACTACTTTAGTAGCAATTTTTTTACAGAATATATCTTCTGCAAGCGGTCACAGAAAAACTCGTTCAAGGGCTGGCCTCCTGACGTGATCGAAATGTCTTGAGATTAGGGTGCATGATAATCAGTATTACAACTTAACGCTGGTTTACTAGTAATTTTCAGTGTTTCGAAAATTTCGACATTTTGCATGACTACGTCCAATTCCTGGCGTGAGATAATCACCGTATTCGAAAACTTGATACAGACACTTATAATTTTTCTATCAAGTAAGTATCTTCGTGTTCGCATGCAAAGCTTTGTCCATTCAGTCTTATCAGTTTATTGTTCAGAAATCATGAAAACTTCGTCAGGGTCGTCTGCTCCTAGAAAGACAAAAATAGCAGAAGAGCGTGCACGCCTCGTGAACACATTCACTACGGGATAAGTTCTGAGCCGGAAACCAGGAAATAAATAGATTACACTACATTGCCGTACATTGGCAACGTCCTCGACGGTGATAGACGCTGTTCGCATATTCATCAATTTCTATGATGGGTGTGGCCGGAAACAGATCAATGGTTGTCTACCTGCAAGTGCAATCTTGTGCGCATTGAAGAAACTACTCCGAGTTAATCGTGCGTAGCGGTGTTCACGAGGGGTTTATAGTTGGAACGCCGTTTTTTTCGAATCTACCTACTGGCCCGCCAGATGTAGTTCCCAACAGCTGGCTAGTAAAATACACAACATTTTGGATGCTTAAAATTGATAATCTCAATTCTCGTGATGTTTCAGGAGTTAGCTAGCATACAGTACGTCAGACTAACTAAACAAAATAAGTACCAACCATATAGCAATAACAGATCACTGCATATTTAACTTCAATGCTCCCACACATCAATTCCCCTCCCGCATGGGTTTTTGTTCCTCATTTAGGGACTCGCCCTACTTGCTACTTCCGCTCGCCTCTTTCCTCGGATCATATCCCCTCTCGGACATGGGCGGCCTCCGTACGCGTTGTTTGACTGCCTTTGAGCCCTTCGTCGCGGACTGGAATGGTGGCGGCTGTGATGAGGAAACTAGGTAAGGGACCACTTACATACTACTAGTACTACTACTACTACTACTACTACTACTGTATGTACGCTAGTTAGGTGACTCTATTCATTGACCCGTACTCCTGCCTTTTTTAGAAAACTCATTCCTGGCGCTCTCCGACAGGTTTTGCGCGCGGCCAGCCCAGACGTGAAGGCTGTGTTCATTTCCGGTCTGCAGTCCTGTGATGGTATATTTAAAGGCTAGTCCGGCTCCATGGTGTACGGATTACACAGACAACGTATTTGGCACTGTCTTCAGATGTTCTTTTTTTCCTAAAATGCCTAATGCTGCGGCAGCGTTTTATTGTGTTCCCTATTTTTATAAAACCTCAAATAAGAACATGATGGAAATCAAGATTAGCAATTTTAGGCACCTGAAACGTTAGGCCTTTTTACTCTGTCACTTGTCCCGTTATGGGAGACGTCCTTTTTTGTATGCAGAATAGTTTTTTGATTTACTTGATCAGTAAAACTGTCTCTAAATGCTATTACGTGTTCTAACTTTTGGCCACGCATCTGACCTTATTTGAACGTCGGAGGTTTATAAATGGTGGGGTCGGGAGCTG